CGGGCGCTGGCAGCGGGGGCAGCGCCGCGGGCCCCTCGGAGTGGCCGCAGTCCGGGCCTTGCCCTCCCATCCTGCTCCAACGCGGTGAGTGCGACGGGCGGGCCCCTTGGGTGCGTTTGTATTCCCTGTCTGCCCGGGTCCGGGTCCGAACGTCTGCGGGTGGGGGCGCGATGATTTTCAAAAGCTCTGCCTATCTGTGTCCACGTGAGGCGTGTCCATGTCCGCGAGAGCAGCAGGGGGAACCTTCGGGCTGTGGCTGCTCACGTGAGGTTCATGTTTTGAGGGGGGAGGCGCGGGTGGATGGGAGATGGTTCCTTGGAGGAGCGCGGGGTTTGGGAGCTTGTGTGTGCTGGTGGAGGGTTCTGAACGCTGCGGCCGAAGGTGGTGGTGGTGGTGGGGTGGGGTTGTTGAGTGGAACTCTAGAATATTGTGGCCCAGCTTGTCTGAAGGGTTCCTTTCTCTTTAGTGCAGATACCTCCACCCCTTGCTCCCCACTCCATCCTCCTCTGGCACTCACAGGCCCACTAGTCAGGTTGGAGAACACCCTTTCCACCCCTAGCACTGCTTGATGGAAAGGAAGCCTCATGCGGAGGCTGTTTCTTGTAGGAAAGGACCCCTCTGGTTCCCCTGTAGCTTGAGCCCAGCCTGGAGGACCCCAGACCCCTCCCTGGTTCTGATCCCCTCCCTTCTGGACTTGGCTTCCAAGGCTGCAAACCTGCAGGGACAGATGGTTGCAGGTTGGAGGGGCAGGATGCACCCCAGGGAGGTCAGTTCGACTGAGGGCAGGCCCTGGGCTTGTTCCTGGTGTGGAGATCTCCGATTGACAACAGAAACCCAGGACTGGCCCCAGGTCAGAGCAGGTGCAGAGAGAGATCTTCTTCACAGGTCTCTCCCTGGCAGTCTGTCCAGCTCGCCAGTGCCCATTCATCCCCTAAACAGCGATGATTTGCTGCAGAATTGGAATCAGAGCTACAGGCCTGACAGGTGCTGTCCCTTTCCAGGCTTGTATGCCTCCAGTGACAGAGCACTTACTATCTTCTGCAGTGGGAAAGCTTCCTTATGTTAAATGGAGGTCTCTCTCCTTGGAACTTTATTCACTTGCCTTTACTTTTGCATCTCTCTGGTGAAAGGGAACTGCAGAGATTTAAACATGGCTCTCCTGTCACCAACACATACTGAGCACTTCCTGTGTGCCAGGTACTGCTGCAGCCATTTAGGGGGCAATGACTTTCTTGCTGAGAGAAGAACTTGAGCAAAGAGCCATAAATGGGATAGTACAATCTGGGTCCAGAAAAACCATATAGTTGGAGTGTGCTCATGGAGAGTGTCACTAGTGACTTAAAACTTAACAAACACTAATTTTGGAAGGTGGAGACAACTGCGATCACCCTCTAACATACCCAGCCTTACAGTGGAAACTAGCAATCAAATCATCAAGATAATACAAGATGAGATTTAACGATAGGCACATATTATAGTCTGTAGGGGCCCTTGGCTTAAAAGGAAATCTTGGGAATCTTAGATCTTGAGAATAAAAAGGTTCCCCCCTTCTAATTTACAATGAAGAGAATGGGGTAGGAGTTTGCCTGGAGCTTTGCCTTGTGTTAATGGAGTCAGTGACAGAGTCAGGACTGAATCTTAGCTCTCCTGCTTTTTTAAACCTCGACACATTTCAAAGGCAAAAATTTAAGATATAGTCATAGCTTGTATCTGAAAAGTGAAAGAAAAGGCATACTTGAGATTACCAGGGTTCTGGTCTCTGTGGCTGGGTGAATGGTGGTGCCTCTTATTGAGATGAGAAACGTTACAGGAAGAGTAGGTTGGGGAAAATGAATTAAGTTAAGGGACTAATCTCAGTGTGCCATCTAAATAGACATGTGTAAGATGCAATTGTATATACAGGTCTGGGGTTCAAGAGAGTCTTCAAGTGCAGAAGGTAAAGCTTTGGGAGTCATTAGCCATTTGATGTTAACTGAAACCATGGGAGATGATGAGATTGCCTAGACAGAGGATGAAAAATGAGAAGAGCAGAGGCACTAGAACAAAACCCTGGGGGTACTAAACATTTAAGAAAGGGACAGTGCAGGAGCAGCCAAAGAGGCAGGTGAAGTCCTTAGTAAAAGTATCAAGTGTAGCCTATGCCCTTTTAAGTTTTGCACTCTTGCCTAAATGGTGCATATATCTTAATTTCTCATGCTTCTGTTTCGTTCCTTCACTGACTGTTTTCCCAATGTACCTATCAATCTTCTGTTTGTAGCTGAAGACCAAGCTCAAATATCTCTTCCTCTGGGAGCCTTCTTTTTTCTTCGTCACATTCAGAGTTAGCTACTTCCTTCTGTTTCATGCTGTAGCAGTTTAAACATGTCAATATCACAGTACTTATCACATTGTAGTTGTGTATTTACCGTGTCTATTTCCCATACTAGTCTAAAAACTTGTGAAAGACAGGGAGTGTGTCTGATTCAATTTTGTGTCTCCAGTTTCCAGTTGAAGGACCTGGCCCAGAGTGTGCCCAGGGAAGTTTGATTGAATGGTTCATTCACCTATTTACTCGGACTGTGATGAGGGGAGAGGGTACCCTGAATTTCTATCACTTTCTTTCCCCGACAATCTTATTTAAAGGATTCCTTTGACTTTTAGAACTTTACCTCATCCAAGGCTTTGCTTGTTTCAGAGAAAGCCCAAAGACTGTAACTTGTATGTCTTTTGTCATTTTGCTGAGGTCTTAAATGATCAGATACACCTGGAGGCTAGTGAGTAAGTGTAAGCCATTTTAGCAAACAAGTCTAACCTCTCTCATCCATTTTCAACAGTGCCTTGGTTATTTCCACTCCAACTGTGTAAATCACGTGTACTGAGAATCTCGTGAGATTTTGGAGAAAGTCATGGGGAAAGCTAATGCTGTTTGAGAATTTGGAAAAACTGAAAAGCCTTGAAACACATCCTTTGCGGATGTCAAGGATCTAGTGGAGTCAGCACTGGCTACCTTCATTTGTTCACAATCAACTTCTTTCTTAACTCCCTGGATCTGGCTTCCTCTCCTCCAGCCCCTGGGAATCATACTTTCTTAAGTTAATAACAACTTTTTTGGCTGGGCGCGGTGGTTCAAGCCTATAATCCCAGCACTTTGGGAGGTTGAGGCGAGAGGATTGCCTGAGCCCATGGGTTCAAGACCAGCCTGGGCAGCATGGTGAGACCTTGTCTCTACAATAAATCAAAAAATTAGCCGGGTGTGGTAGCGTGCGCCTGTAGTTATGGCTACTTGGATGGCTGAGGCAGAAGGATCACCTGAGCCCAGCAGGTCGAGGCTGAGGTGGCCAGGAGCATGCCACTGCACTCCAGTCTGGGTGACAGAGTGAGACTCCAACTCAATAAATAAATAAATAAATAAATAAATAACTTCTTTGAGATTTTAAATCATAGGGGCTCTCTGCAGCATTTCACTCTTGTTCATGAAACTTTCTTCTCCCTTGACCTTCACGACATCTCTGTTTCCTGCTTCTCCTGCCTCTCTTGCCATACCCTCTCAATCTTTTTTTGCAAGCTTTGCTTCCTGAGCCTGTCTCTTAAATGTTGCGGTTCCTGGGGCCTCAGTCATAGGCTCTCCTTTCTTGCCTTACCCTTTCTGGGTAATGTCATCCACTTCATGAACCACCTCTGCACCAACATCATCCAAATCTATATCTCCAGACAGACCTCTCTCCTAAGCTTTAGCCTGTCTTTCCAACTGCCAGCTTGGCCTTTACACTGGAATTATGTCCCACAGGCACTTCAGATTCATCATGTTAAACACTGAACATATCACCTCTTATCCAAACTGCTCTTCTTCTAGAGTTTCCAAACTAGAAAACTA